TAATCACCTTTATTGGCCAAGTATGTTACACACAAGGACAGAAGGTACAGAACTGAGGCAGCCATCTGTGGCGCCAACTCAACCGATGGCTCTAAGCATTGGGGGGTTCAGTGTCTTGCAAGGACACTTCGACATGTGGACTGCAGGCACAGAGATTCGAACCTTCAACCTTCTGGTTGGGAGATGACTGCTCTACCCACCGCCCCACTGTCACCTCAAAACACAAAGCATCCCTTAACCTATCCTCACCCAAGCAAAGAGCAGATTGGATTGACACACAGCATCTGCATTGTATTTACTCAGGTTAAGGTTTATAGCAATAAAGAAAAAAATCTATAGCAATTTCATGAAAACACTATGAAATTCTAACATTGAGCCACACTGATAACCATCACATGGAGTATCATGTCTACTGTTCATTCACTCTTCCCAAACTTCCCCTATTTTTCACACTGATCTCTTCACAGTTGAGCTCACAAGGAAATATTTCCATCCTAGCAGTGAATCTAATACTTTGTCCGGGGTTTAATCCAACAGGCTTTTGGAGAAGTGAGACCTCACAGCAGTCTCTAACCAGCTCACAGGGTTTCTATCCACACAAACCACCATAAGAAATGTGGTGTGAAAATGCAACACATTATCTACTTATTCTCCCTGCAGTTATGCAGATTAAAACTCCCTTTAGTAGTTTTATTTTTTCCTTCAGAAGTTGTTTGTTGCCTTTTTCCATTTGTGCCCTACGAAGGTTAACCCTCAATCTCTTCCTGCTGTCATTCTCACCACAACCTGTAGTCTGTCCATCAATGAACTAGTCTTTGCATCTTAAGTTACTCTGTCAGCAGCAGAGAAGGAGATTTAGCAGAAAATAGAAGTGGCTAGGCTAGAAGGAAAGTGGGTTAAGAGGGGAGTGACAGATGAGAATGGGAAATTTCCTAAATCATGGCCTACTTTCTCTGGTTGACACACAGCTCAGTGACATCTCTCACACTATCTCTCAAACCTCCATCTCTGCATCCCATCTAGGATGCTGGGAGCCAGCCTGGGGCAGTGTAGCACGCAAGATCTCACCCTTCTCCACCCAGCCTAGACAGCATGGGCTGTGGTCTATAGAGACCTGGCCATGGTCAACTAAAGCACACCTCTCTGCCTTATTTACTGCTAAACCTCTGGAAGAGACATGTGCATTGGAACATAGTCAGATCCTGTGGGAGGGCAAAATAACAGCTGTATATTTTATTTCTCTGCTCGCTAATGTTTTTAAGACTTCCATGGCTTTTAATCCATTTATTTCACAACCTCCATTTTATATATGATCTAATATTTGGGTTGCTTGCGTGTTTGATGTCAGACTCATAACTGCCTCTTTTATACAATGGGATATTAGCTAGTCAATATTATTTGCCATTATGTAATGTGTTTTTACCACTTTTACCTACAACTGCATTTATGTAGTTTTTTTCATATTACAAATAATACCACATACATAATACACAACAGCACTGTCTAAACTAAAAATCCATCTTGTTGCAATTCAACAATTTGCAACAAGTTAAATTCATAATATCATACACTAAGGAACATAGACTAGACTGTTACCACAACATACTGTAGCTACAGATAGTTTGATGGTCAGTAGCAGTGATAGGATTTCTAATTACCGTTTTATTTCTCTCTTCTACAGAATTTCAGTCCCACTAGATGTTTGGTTGCACTGTTGATGTAAGATAATAAATGAACTCCTTAATATTATCATGCAAAGTCACTGTCTTGGAACTTTGGGTCTTTTTAAGATAAGACAATGTCAAGTGATATGCATTAAAAATTCTGATGAACCCCAATAAAAGCATTAGTGTTAATCATGTTTGTTTTCTGGTTTAATGTGAATGCTGTATAAATATGGCCTAAGTTAATAAATAATTCACAGTTAACAAAAAGCCTATACTGCCTATTTTTATGTTGTTAGACTTCTCTTAGCATGAAGCATAAAGTCTCTGTGAAAACTGTAAGGTTAGCATGCAAGCCATCTGCGTGCATATAATGGAGGCCTTTGATCCTGCAGCAGTGCCAAAACACATATCAGGTGTTGAGTGGAATTGATATTTTTGAGGACGGTTGTAGATTCAAGTATCATTTGGAAAAACTACACTGACATTCAACTGAATGATCACCTGACACCATGCACTGAAAAATACAAACTTCAAAAGCCCATAGCCACATCCATATTAGTTGAACGCTTCTGGATATGATTCAGATGGAGTGTGAGTGTACAAAATAATCTTGCACAAGACTACAGTGTCTCATCAACAAGTTTGAAGTGAGAAGTGAAGTGCGATAGCGACCGACCATTCATAGCCACTCTCTTTGATGTTGCATACCAGTTGGCCACTGAACTGAGCATTACAGATGGCTGTCGACAAGTGCACACAGCCGCATAAAGTGCAACATCACACAGACATAAAGACACATCAAGATGCACACACTGAGGCCTGTTCATTATCAAGATACTGTAAGTGTCTGCTCTGCCCTTTGGTTGTTTTCACTGGATTTTCATTTTAAAGAAGACCAGGACTAGCAGCAGGCAACTACAGATCTCAAGTGTGGTCAGATGTGTCAGTTCATATATGTGAGTTGCACTAGATTTGGCCTTTGCCCTTTCCAGCTCTCAATTCTGTGTGGGCCTGTGAGCAGAGGCTCTTTGATGGAAGATGATACAGTGCATTAATGGTCAGGCTGGCCTTTGGAGTAGCCATCTTGTCTCTCTACTACTCAGACTCAAACACATACTTGTAGTCACTCACATACATGTTTGTTTGGACTTTACATTGACTTAACTACATTCATTTCCTACAAACTTGATCGAACCTTAACCATAATAACTACTTGCCAAGCCCTCCTTAAACTAAGTTGTCACCCTAAAATTCAATGATGTATATGGTGGGGACCAGCATCTCTCAATGCAACTAATATAGCCTGCTATCATCTTCATTACTTTATCACTTAAAATAACATTTCTGTATGCATTATAACAAATTGTTTTTCACAAAGCGGACAGTTTGCACATTGTGCAGTCTCAACAGAGCCACATACAGCAAGTCATTTCTGCATACATGTCACATTTAGTACATATTTATTAAAAAAAAGATGCAAATGCAAAGATCAATCTCAAGATTTCAAATTGTGAGGACACAATTTAAGCCATCACAACTAAATTCCTAACCTCAACCCTTATGCTAACCTAAAGCTAATACCCTTCCAAAAGCTCTTTGAAGTTGTGAGAATCTAAAATGTCATGTGTACACACACACACATCTGATAAATATTGCAGAAGAGCTGAGATCAGTCTGCCCTCTGAACTTGTCTCAAAGCTTGGTAGGCACACCCATCCAAATATGAAGCTAAAGTGTGACAAAAATACATGAATATTTTATAAACAGTCATGCGAGCTGTGTCGCACAGCTGTTTGAGGATGTAAAATGGGTTGACAGATTTTTTTTTTCCTTCTGTCTTTGGACACTGCAGAATTTGTAGAAAACGTCTTTTGCATTTAAATGTAGGACTTATGTGCAAATAGAGAGATAAACACATGGCTTTCTACAGCACAGGGCTGAGTCTCTTTCTAGCTCTTACTGTCTCCTATCTCAATGAATTTACTCAGGGGACCAAGTACGAGTCAGGCAAGGATAAAAAGAGTTACGCACATAAATAAGTATTCTCTTTCTCCTCAAAATGGGCCAAAGAGGGCTTACTCCTTTAGTACCTGTTAATGTAATCACTCAGTACTTCACACTCTGCAGCACTAACTACACGTCAGCAACATCAAACAGCATTCCGACTGTTTTATTTTCTCAGTATGATGTAAAGAAAAAGACAGGGAACTCTGGAGTCCCATCACGTGTTTTTACCCCCATCCACAGAGGACGAACACAGTCTGAGCTGAGATCAGGGCAGTGTTTTGTGTGTGCGTGTGTGCCTTTGTATTACTTCCATCATGAGGACTGAAACCTGTTAACCTGTGGGGACCCGGCCATCCTTGTGGGGACCAGAAGCTAGTCCCCAAAAGGAAATCACTGAATTTTAGGGTGGCAACATGGTTTAGGTGTTAGGATGAGGTTAGGTTAAGTGATAAGGTCAGGATTAAGTGTTAGGGAAGTAGTGGTTATGGTTAAGGTTAGGATAAGTCTACAGGAAATGAATGCAAGTCAATGTAAAGTCCCCACAAGGAATGAAAACACAGCATGTGTGTGTGTGTGTGTGTGTGTGAGAATGAGGCATCTGACAATCTCACACCTCAGCATACAGATGACTTGACCAGAGAGAGGCAATTTAAAATATTAATTTTCAACCCCCACACATACACTTCTGCTCTCCCTTTATTGCTACCTAGCTCACATACACTGACACAAACACCGAACACAGGAGAACCTGCGCTTTGCTTTCTCCATGGCAATTCAAGCAATTCAAGTGTCCGAATACACCAAAGCAAAACTGATTTTAAAAAATCCATTTACAATACATTTAAATACTCCGTGTGCATTAGAAAGCTAAAAGTAAAAAAAAAAAAGAGAGAAGAAGTTTTAGGTCACATTGTAATTATACAGACGTAGGCTACTGTGAGCTATCGTGTCCATAGCATATGACCAATCCTTTTAAACAGTTAAGCAGATTGACTTAAGTAGGCATGAACCTGTAAGCTGGGAGGCATTTTGGCAATGCTAGACTTAACCTGCTAACAAAGGGCAGAATAAAACCGAAGAAAGCTGTCTCAACACTGACAATAATCATCTAATCGAGTACCCTCCACACACAGGCCTATACATTGTAACACTATAAGACAAACTCAAAAGCCTGCACCTAGTTTGAGCCATGCGCATCATATCACTGATCATCTGTTCTGCTATTAATTGCATTATTTGCCGTATCAGTTCATTTTATCATAGCCTCGTTACAGGGAACCGAGCACAGCAATCCCTGTAAATGAAAAACAGAATCAGAGCACTTACAGCAAGGAGGAGCGAAGGCAAGGTGTGGGGTTCGGAAGTTGTCAAATAAACGTTTGTTTCTGTCGTTTCTGTAAGAATGTCATCGTTTGGGTTTTATTTTTGCTGTGCGGACATCGTCTCCCTTCTCTGCTGCTGATCACACTGCATACACAACGCGATGCTGTGTGGAGTGGAGTGTAAAGGAGGGAGGGCGAGGGAGAGGTGCGACTGGAAGACCTGGGTGCTCTCAGCTGGCAGCAAACAGCGACAACATGTGGCCTTATGAGGGAAGCATGAGGAAATGCTGTCAACCACAAGTGTGGAATAATAACAATTGTCTCTACATTAATGAAAGGCTATACAGCAGCACATTTTTGAACAAGATTTGTAATTAGACAGTGGTCTTACACGTATAACTGCTTAGATTTTACACTGATTGGAGTCCAAAAAAGCAATACATGCAACTTTTAACTGGTCTTTAGTTTTACTTTTGTTTGAATGTCAGTGAAAAGGCTTTCCTCTCAGGGTTGTAGGTCTTTGGCTCTTGTTACCATTGCTAACTCTGAGAGACGAGACAGTCCAAGTAACTTCAAAACAGTGCTGATTTATTCAAAGGATCACAGGTAAAATTAACATTACACGCTCAGGTATCTTCCACCTCCAACCTGCACGCAGGCAGATGAAAGATGAAAGACCCTGAACCCACCAGGCCTATACATTATATCCCCTATTGTGCCTGGTATACAATAGTCTGCTGGCTGTAGCTTCTTAAGTTTTAGCATTAACAGACAGAAATAGTCTTCGCTATGAGTTAATTGAACTTTCAGCAATACAACAAATAGGAATACTTTTCAAAATGTCAAGCTGTTCCTTTAAGATGCTTCTTAAAGCCCTCACCATTTCAGCTACAATTACATGAAATTTTAAAAGATTGCGGGACTTCGTGGTAGTTGTAGCCCACTTTGTTTAAATTTAGTTTGTTCTAAGCCAGATAGCTGTTATACATTCATAGGACAGGGTAGATGCAGTACTTGGGTTCAGAGCTTTATGGACAGTAGATTTTAATGTTTTTCAGTTTTTGTATTTTATAAAACCAAACAAAAATTCAACTAAAAACAAACAAGACACTCATGCTGTGTCATTGTTTTCCTCTTCACTTGCAGAGCTTGCAGCACATTAATGTAATGAATGTAATGTAACATAATTTTCTGACCAGCCTCTTACTGCCATGTAGTACCACTCATCCAGTAGCCTATTTGGTGAATTTATTTAATGCAATGGGTTATTAAGGTCAGTGTTAAGAGAATATGTTGCACTGAGTCTAATATCAACCTAGGGAGCACAGAAACCCAGGTTCAGACCCTTGCAAGTGAATCATGTCACTCAGTCAGCCATGCAGCAAGCCACTCAAATAGGCATAAATCAGAGCCTTGGATCAATGCCCTGCTTCCCATAGGCGAGCTGCTGTGGCACAACAAAATCAATTCCACCCCTGGATTCATTGTTTCAATTACTATGCCTTGTTCTCTACTGCAGCAGTAAGGAGGGCCGACTGGAATCAGACCCGCATCAAACATTTATATAAGCAGTGAACCCAAATCAGGGAATTAAAGTGGTGGTAGGAGGATCTGTTGCTGTCATCAGCTGATACAGTGACCACAGTAGCAATGAACACAATGTTCATTTAGGTAAAAATGCTGATTTGGAGAAGCCACAAGGAGGAGCAATTTTATTAGATGCAGACAGAAGTCATAATTCAAAAGGACTGATATGTTTAGAGCTTGCATGGTTGCAGCTTTGTAGAATTTATGGTCTACACAGGAAATTGACAAGACAAACAGCCCCTATGGAAAAGTGTGTTAATTGTATTAGCACACCATATACAGTATGTCTTCTCTGTGCTGCTGGAGTCAGGTCACAGTCAATTGAATTACAGTACAAAATGTGGACATGTGACCGGGTTTCTGTAATAGAAGTTGGGGAATAAAGGAGAGGTGTGTACAGTACAAAGAGAATTAATGCACTTTTCCATCTACTACGAATATGTGGAAATTAAGCATTAAGCTAAATAGATAAACAGTTGGTGGTGCTAATTCTCCACATGAAAAAAAGCCAAGGCACAATGCAATGACAGTTGATTGAACATAAACAAAAATGATTTGGGAAAAAATGTGTTTGTTTCATATAATAATTCGATGAGAGAAACAGCCTCCTCACAGTGAACTGATTTTTTTAGTCTGGTGCAGTTTTTAACTTGAGTGGCCATTTAGCCACATGCTTCATGAACTGCATGTAATCATATATTCGCTGTTTGTTTTCAGAGAACTGATTGGATAGGAAGAGTCTGAACTGCCATCTTGCCAAACCCAGCCATTACAAGGAAGTTATACAGGGCTCCTATAAAGAATTCAGTAAACTACAGGTAAACTATAGGTAAGAGGACATTATGTCTGAATTGGTCCATGGCTTCTGTGCAAACAGAAGTTGCTAACCAAGTTCATACCATGTTTTTAAAATTTTGTCATATATTGAGAATACAGATTCAGACAACTTTATCTCAGCAACTGTTGATAAGTTTAGTGTCAGCATCTCAACAGACTGTATATTTTTAAAAGAAATCCTATACCTACTAAATATGTAGTTTGACAAAAGACATAATATAAAAATTGTAAATATTGTGCAGCTATACATAATGTCCACTTTGCACATACACTAAATCTTCAATGGACCAAGAGAAGGTCTCCCCTAGTAAAATGAATGTTACATATGTGAAAATTACCTGCATCTTAAAAATCAAGTCAACAAAAGCTGTGTGCAGGAAAAAAAGTTTGTATACCTGTATATCTATTTATTTCAGAAACTCTAAATTTCTCCCACATATTATACTACTAGCATGTTAGCGGGAGGAGGTTTTAAAGGAATCTGACCGAGAGTGAACCTCTTAGCCTTGAACTGATTCAGCTCATCTGGGGCCAGTTTACTCTCAGGGGAAAACAGACTGTTCAATGCCACACTAACAGACCCAGTTCCTGCTGCAGGTGGAACAGTAGTTGTCCCAAACCCTCCACTCGTCTGTCCAAATACACTGCTGCTTCCTGCTGCGACAGGTGCTTCAGCCCCAAAACTGCTCCCAAATCCTGATCCAGTGTTTGCTGTAGAGGCGAAGTTAAACCCTGAGGCAGTGCCAAATCCTGAAGCGACCGCTGGTTTGTCAGAAGCTGGGGCAGCGAAGGGGAAAGTTGAAGCCAGAGGAACAGGAACAGAGGACGAACCAAACCCAGAGAGAGGTTGTGTAGGAGCTGCTAAGGCACTGCCAAAACCTGTTGGAGCTGATGGTGCACCCGAAGAACCAAATCCACCACTTGGAGCGGCAAAGCTGAAACTGCTGGCCTGCACTGGTGCCAAAGCTCCGAAGCCTGCGTGGCCAGTGAGATTTCAGAATTAACACAGGAACAATGGTGATAATGGATTTGATTACCTGATGCTGTACATTCATATACATTCAGGTCCTTGACTTTACACTAATTAACACGTATTTACTAAATATTTGTTATTTACTAAAGTTTTGTGGTTAATTTTTGGCTCTAAACCATTAAACTGCATGTATTCACTAAGGAAACACAGCTGGGTTTTGTGCCAGAAAAAAAAAAAAAAAAAAAAAACCACAGGGGGGCATTCCTGTTCAGGGAGACCAAAATAGGGAAGGAGAGAACAGAAATTTATGCTGCGACCGAGAGACTGGAGGCTAAAATTTAAAATTTAACATCAGGAGAAAACAGGTGTAAAATTTGTCATCTGGGATCTCGTCGGATTGAAGAATGTTTGAGGAGGCACAGGATGTTTGTAAACTGCATCACTTGCCAGATGAGAATAATATGAGGGACTTTTATAGACTTTGAGGTCTAACCATGCTTCTGTTAGTGAATAAAATAAAAGATAATGTGACTGGCAGAAGACTATTGAGCTCTGGAATATGTTTGTTGGTTCCTTCAGCCACATTAAAGTTCACTGGCAGTAAACTTACACTTTCTTCCACGATCCCTCTCAGTCCACACCTGGGCAACAGCCCATAGACACAATGATAATTTGTGTTGTTACAAAGGGTAATTTGCTGGGGCCATTTCTTTGCCAGGAGCAGTCGCTTCCATTGGTGCTTTGCAGGAAAGCTGGTTACTATTTTCAAAAAAGCTGAGCTATGACTTTACCCCTCTACTATTAGAATGAAGCAATACTTGATCTTCACCTCTGCTTCCAAAGTCAGGTGCAGAGGATCCAAATCCAGTAGTGTTCGTTAAACCAAACCCACCTGAAGATGCTTGAGGAGCTGGATTGTTTAACTCTGAAAGCTGGAAGGAAGGTAAATACAGTTATTATCAAAACATGATCATTCAACTTAAAAAGTCATAAAAATGGATGGGAGTATTGTTACAGTGACTGTCTACATGCATCTCACCAAAGCAGTACGGATGGCTGGATTCATAACCTTCAGTTCCTGCACCCTGCTTCTCCACTGGCTGAGCAACTGATTGACACCATTAACCTAAACACATCAAACATTTGCTTCTTAGACTTGCCCTAGTGATGTGTCGTTCACGAACGATTCGTTCATTTTGAACAAATCTTTCCTGTGACTTGAGAACATCGTGCCATCTCGGGGAGTGATTCGTTCATTTTGTGTTGACCACGCATGTACAACATCGGAGATGAGATTAGTACTAGTGATGGGAAGTTCAGATCATTTTACTGATTCGGTTCTTTGAATCTCGTTCAGCAAAATGAACGAGTCTTTTTTCGAGTCATTTTGTTCATTTAGTTCACTAATATGTCAGTCTAAATGAATCCACCCCACCTAGTCACAGTAACTGTCAGATCACTGAAAATGGGTCAAATGCAGCCAAGGTCATATTATAAGTAATATCATACCTGTGTCTTGAGGCTATGCAGTCTGTTACTTCATCGCCTCACCTCCGGATATTTTGGGTCAAATTTGTTTGGTCTTTTGTCAGGTAACATCCTAAGCTAAGCTACGCCGTGCTGTCTTCTGTATAGTATACAGAAATATTTACCCTGATGAAGTTTAAAGCTTTAACCAACTCTTCAGTGTTATGGAAAAGAATCATATTGACAGATATTCACAAAATTATAGTCTGTAGGAAATAAAAAGCTATTTTATAATAAAAATAAATGCATAGCCTCAAGACACAAGTACGATATTACTCATAATATGACCTTGGCTGCATTACAGTTCTTTCTTATTCAAAACGTGATCAATACATGTGTAAGTTGATGGGGAATTAAAATGTAACATTTTAATAACATTCTGCTGAAGTGAACGAAATGAACGAAATGACTCGAAAAGAAGATTTGTTCATTTTGGTGAATGAGATTCAATGAACCGAATCAGTAAAATGATCCAAACTTCCCACCACTAACTTGCACACATTTTAAAATGCATTCATTATTTGCTATTTTCCCAAACAGCACTATAGTCCAATTCAAAATGATGTGACTGAGATACCACCTATCATCTTTATTAAAAGAAAAAACTACTCGTATCCATGCAGAACACAGAGTCAAAAGTCTAGCCACTTCACACATTCACAGAATAAAGCTCCCCTTACCAGTCTGTAAAAAGCTATTAGGATTGTTATTAATGAGACACCACACTTACATAGCCCTGTAGATCTCCGGAAGCTCTTGTGGAGTAATACTCTAGCCTGAGCTCTTCTGGAGAGAAATCAGTAAAACCTGAAGAAAATAAAAATCCAGTATTTTGGTGGTTAATGTAATAAAAACCATCATTTATAACTAGTGTCTTGAATACAAATAACAGGAATCATGGATTCAAATGTATTAAAGACCAGTACAGACCAGATAAAGGTGTTTTAGAGTTTGAATAACACGAGAAGCACCACTGCCCTGAACTTTCCCAAATCTCCATGTCAGTCTGAATGACCTCCCTGGATGATCATTAGACAAACATGAATTAACTTCTTATGGCAAAAACACATTCATTTTAATGCAGCGTGGCTTTAAAAACAGCAAACTCACAGCTTTTTGTCATCATCATCACCAGTCATTCCTCTTCTGTCAAAAGTGCTGGGAGCACTTAGCTCCGAAAACCTGTTTTGAGAGGAGAAGCTGAATTCAGAGCTCTTCGCGTTATCTCTTCTCCCGCCTCCTCCTCCTCCTCCTCCTCCTCGCCCCCAGTCATCACTTCCATGAGATGAGAACGATGATGGTTGGATATAGCTTCCTTTTTGCTGGTTGGGATGCACCCAAACTCTGTTTCCAAACCCTGAAATCACAACAACACCAGTTTCTTAGTTACACTTTGTGCAGTCTACTAACTAATGTTGTCAAATGCCAACTTCACCTTCACAAAGGTTATTTTGTTGAGTTATATTAAAAATGTGTTGATTCAACGGAATTATCATCTTGGAAATGGGGTAGTGGTGCTGTTGTCCTGTGTCATACTGAGAGGGGTGTGTCTAAAAATGAAGTCTCTCGTCTGTGATTTAAATTTAGTTCAGCTTATGCTCAAATAAAATGGTTGAGTCGACTAACCCAGCTAATCAACGTGACCCTCCTCCACTGTCCAAAAACATGAATGGCGCAGAAAAGAAAAGGATGATGTTAGTGAAAGAAAAGCGAAACTTAACTTCAGCCTCCTAGTTGTACCACTAATTCGACAGTAAGTTAGCCAAGTCTTCCCTATAATACTAGCAGCTACAGAACCACTTCAGCTTAAGTTTATTTTTATTTCTAGTTAACCTCACCTCCACCCCCTCCTCTGG